ATATATATATATATATATATATATATATAACGAGTTTAGCTGTCAAACAACGTGTATATATAATTAATTAAAACTGTTAATGGCGTTTGATTCTTTGAGAAGTGTTTCAGCAATTATGATAAATTGATAATGCAAATCAAATCAGCATTTTACAGAACCAAATTGGACTAAATTTTTTTTCTTTCCCTTTTTCTGTTTTTGAGAACAGACCGATTGGACTATTCAAAAGCATGCGGATTTATTTACTTTATCTTTATTAGACTAACTACTCGGGGTATAATTTTAGCTCCCCGCTTTGCTGCTGGGGCACATTTTTACACTACAAAATTTTACTTCATCTATCTCAATTTAAATCGTCTGTTTTGATTTGCAATATTTGACTAAAATTATTTTCAAATCAATTTATATGAAAAAATGATATAAAATAAAAATTACATACTCTCTCTGTACCGTTTGACTTTTTTCGTCAAACTCTAACATCCTTTGACCATGAAATAAATATACTCCCTCCGTCCTATAATGATCTTCCCGGTTCGCAAAACGAAAAAAAATCCCAAATTTTTTCAATCTATTTTATTTAAATATTGGTATAGAAATAAAAAATAAAACATACATATTTAAAAACTACATCAAAAGTTCAACAAAACAAGTGGTGACAAGAATATTTTATTTTATCATATAGGCCATGAAAAAACACAAATAAATATAAATTCCCGTGAAGTTGGAATAGTGCTCTGGGAAGATCATTGTAGGACGGAGGGAGTAGTTTAAAATAATTAAATATTATAAAAATTTGATATTTCAAAAATATATTTTAAATAAACTCAATTTTACTAAATTTACATTATAAGTTATAACTAAATATTTTTTTCATAATTCACGGTCAAAGGTTGACACAAATTGACTGAAACGGTCAAACTGTGGTAATCTTTTAGGAACGGAGAGAGCATTAAAAACTACATCAAAATATCTACAAAACTAGTGGTGACATTACTATATTATTTTATCAAATGGCTAACAAAAATAGGGAAAGAAAATAAATGAAGTTTGACCATGTGATCTGTCAATTGTAAACAGGTAATTTAATTTGAGATGGAGGGTGTAATATTTTATTAAAATTTTATACTCCGTATTATGTTTCAAAAAATATACTCCGTATTAATTTTAGAATATCATTTTATGTATTTTAGTTTTGAGTAAATTCAATAAAAGGTTCCAGTTAAAGGTCGTTTTACATATTTAGTCCCTACATATCAAATATTACTAACTTAGTCTCCAATTATTAAATTAATTTCCACGAATGGTTCTTTCTTAACATTTCCATTAAGAACGTGGATAAAATTGTAAATTCATACTCCCTTCTCTCTTCAATTAAGTTTCCTCCATCCACTCGCACTCCTTTCCCAAACCCGTTGCTGAGTTTGAAGCTTTGAACCCAAAACCGAAATCATCACTCTTCTCTCAATCGTTTGCCTAACGGGTGGAACCCAAATTCGAAACCAGTAACCTTCATGGATGAGTTTTAATGTTTATTATCTTTGCAATTTCTTGAGACTAACCGATAAAACTCATGCATAAAGCTTATTGAATTTGATTTTAGGTTCTCCTAGGAAGACTAATAATTGAGAGAGGAATGATCATTTCAGTTTTGGATTTAGAACTTCAAACTTAGCGACGAGTTTGAGAAAGAGTACGAGAGGAGGGAGAAAACTTAATTGAGAAGAAAGAAGTATGAATATACAATTTTATCGTCGTTCTTAACAAAACCGTCAACAAAGTACCATTTGTGAAAAATGATATAATAATTGGGGACTAAATTAGTAATATTTGATATGTAGGGACTAAATATATAAAATGACCTATAACTGGGAATCTTTTATAAAATTTACTCTTTAGTTTTCTATAATAAGGCTACTATCTCCGTTCATCTTTTATTTTCTCATTTTGAATAACATATAAAGTTCTTTTTTAAAAATTAATTATTGTACTTATATATTGATATATAAAAAGAGTACAAACTACAACCTTTAAAATTAGATCTAAAGTTCTACAATATATTGTGACAAAAATATTTATCTTATCAAATGATTAATCAAAATATGCAAACGAACATAAATTACCGAGATCCTGTAACAGCAACTCTAAAGATAAAAAATTGGACAAAGGAAGTATGTTACGGAGTAGATACATATTTTCAAAGATATTTTTAATAAACAAATGAAAATTTATAACTATGCTTCACGTAAATGTTTAGGGTTTAATAAAAAAGCTATATGATTTTTTACATAAAAAATTAGGGTTTAATAATGATGTACTCAAATAAAAAATTGTATTAGTCGTCTCTCTTTCAAAGTAATATAATAAAAGAAAAAAAGATGGTGAAGAGTTCTAAAAATGTAATAAAGTAGTGAAAATTATTTTAGTCAATAAAGGATTAATGAGTTAGATGATAAGTGTACATATTGTATAAGGCCACATCACTGAAAGATGCATATATATATATATATATATATATATATATATATATATATATATATATATATATATATATATATATATATATATATCGGTAAGTCTAAAATGACGCCAGTGCTACTGGTGTCATTTGCTTACACCAGTTTGTTTGGGGTACCTACGGGCTACTATACGGTGCCCCGTTTGTAAAAACGACGGTTCCTACCCCCCTACCTCCCCCTAAACCCCCACCCCAGCCCCACCCTTGCCTCCCGCCCCCCTTAATGATATATTTTGTTTGCCAATAAAAAAAGAATCAATTGAAGCAAGCAGGAATAATATTTTTGTAGGAGCAAAATAATAATTTCGCATGACCTTTAGTCATCTTCACGGTGAACCGTACCTTTTGCGAAAACCAATAAATAATTCTTTTTATAAAAAAGAATGAGCCCCTTCCGAGAGGGTCCTTCACACCCTGCCAGACAGTCACTGGCAAGAGGAAAATTACATTTTGTTCGTAAATCAATGATAAAAAATATAATATGCACCTAATACTTACAGAGACTTTATGCTTAACATAGTTGCCTCACAACGCAGTTATTATAAATCGAACTCGTGCATCGGTGCAAGTGACTAATTTGAATGAGTTGTAGGTTTTATATTACGCTAAAGTATGCTTAGAAAAATATTACGCTATAGTAGGTAACGTGCTCTAAGGAAACAGTATCTCAAATAAAAGAGTGATTCTATGGTGAATATAAGATTTGTATTAACATTCTCACATATTTATCTTATTTTAAAAATGCGTATTTTATCACTTGAAAATACTTATTCAGTATATATATATATATATATATATATATATATATATATATATATATATATATATATATATATATATATATATATATATATATATATATATATATATATATATATATATATATATATATATATATATATATATATATATA